AAGCTGAATTTGCAGTAAAAAATCTCAAATTCAAGATGGCTGATCCAAATGGCCGATATATCACGTTAATTTATTAAATCTAATTGAAATTTCGAGTGCCTCTGGTATTGAGGTCGCGTAAAATGTATGTAAGGTCGGAGTTTGAGGTTTTTGAGGTAATTAATTATTATTATAAAGTACGAAAAGTAAATATCTGCGAAATAAGGCATGTATTTGGAATGAATTCGTCATTTCGAACAAAATAATTTCTAAATACTGTTGAGGCTTATTCTTGTTATAAAGCTTCTAATTATTTAGCTAATTTTAATACACATGAGTCATTCGCATCGTCATCACCTGTCACATAACCGTCAGAGCATGAAAATATTATCACCATAGCTTCGGTTGAAAAGATTTTCTCATTTTCATCTATCTTGCATCTTTTAAAAAAGGTTGATCAAAAATGATGATTTGCGTATCTAAATTTTCTTGGAATTTTCCTTTCAAAAATCGAAAAATTTATTTTTTCATTCACGTAATTTTACTGGTGCCTGATCCTGTCGAAAATGATAAATTATGAATTAAAAGATCATAGATAATAAGTTCATCTATAATTTTCTTCATTTTATTTTCGTATTCTTCTCAGTAAACCCTTTCATTTGATATCCATATCTTGGGGGTGCATAAAAAATAACTGGTCCGCCATCTTTGGGAGTCCGCCATATTGGATTTAGAATGACGTCACTTAGCTAACCATGCATTGTCATCCAAACTAACCGTGTAAGCAAAATTTCAGCTCAATCGGTTGGGGAAACTTTTTTAAAATTCAGTTGCAAAATGTGACCCATACTAAGTCAAGTTAAATAAAAGCTTGTAAAAATACAATAAATGGCACACGAAAAAGGTGTATGAATAATTAGAAACGCTCGTTTGGATCATGAAGAGACACTAAAACGCTAGCTATTGTATAACTAAGGCCTCTTACAATAGTAAATCGGCCGTACACAGAGGCACAAAAAATGACTCAGAACCCCAATCCGGAAAAATCCGGTGGTTTTCTCTTTTGATATATGAAATTGACACTCCTGTCCGCATTTTTCAACTTTTAATAGTGCAGGATCTCTTGGGATCACAACTATTTCGATAATTTATTGATGTGATTTGAAATCGATGGAAATTGCAAGACGTTTTTGTTAAAACAATAAAAACATGCAACTTTCGAAAAATGAGATTCTAAAAAGCATTTTTGGGGTAAACGATGAGGACAAAAGTCTCTTCACGGCGCATCCGATGGTAACCTTGACCTTGAGGTCGAGGTCAAGGTTCAGGGTCATATCAAGATCAAGTCGGTTTTTCAAACGACGACCATCCTTTTTCGACTCCGGAAATGGAAAGAGCAGAACATTCTGCATCCGAGTAAGACATTGACCGTCACCTCAAGATCATTCCAAGGTTAAATGTTGCTTTTTACTGTAATTTTTTATTTTTAACTACGGAATCAGAGGGAGTGACAGTCTTTGAGTAGATACCTGATGGTACTTCTTAGTGTCCTTGTTCTTGAGAGCAAGGTCGAAGGAACATGTCAAGGTCATATCGGTTTGTGGATTAGCGAACCCTTGTTTCGATGCTAGAAATAAGAAAGCGTAGAATTGTACATGTTACTACGATTTTAAAAGGTCAGGTAGAGGTCAAGTGATTATTGCGGTTGTAATTTTTTTCGACGATGGAGTAAAAGGAAATTTTTTAGTGACCTTAAGATCAAGGTCACTAAGGAGTACCATCAGACTCAAAGACTGTCACTCCCTCTGATTCCGTAGTTAAAAATAAAAAATTACAGTAAAATTCAACATTTGACCTCGAACTGGCCTTGATCATTGACCATTGACCTTGAGATCACGGTTAATGTCATATTCGGATGCAGAATTTTCTACTCTTTCCATTCCTTTCTTTTTTACGTCTGCTGTAAATTGTATTCGCCGTATGTATTTAAAAAACTATTTATAAATAGTAACATAATTTACATTAACAACTATTAGTTGGGGGGAAAAGTAAAGTAAAATGCCAAAAGAGAAAAAAAATAGACGAAAATTTTCTCAAATGTGGTTTGACAGTAATTCCGAAGGTTACAGGGACATACGCGTTAATGGAAATGAGCTGTGTTGTACAGTTTGTGAACGCATTATAAATTCTTGTTACAAAATTAAAGTGACAAGACATTTGAAGAGCCATGCCTAGTCCATCGCTGAAGACTGTATTCTTCTATGAACTCACAGACGGCTTTTGTTTCAATCAATATTCCATTAAAAAAACTAGAGAATCCCAAGTTCCGTAATTCAGTAAATTGGAATCACATGGACTGTCCCTAAATGAACAATTTGATATAATGGAGGATGTACAAAAAAATATATACGATGCCAATAATATACGCCCAGTTAGTAGTACGATAAAAGAAAAAATGCAAAGAGTGTTGAAACAAATCCAGATACACCATTTTGGAAAAGATATGTAAAATCTTATCTGGTACATATCAGGAGTTACCAACAAATATATTAATATATAGTTCATGCCTCAACAATTTCTCATATTGTCTGTTGTCAACAGTAGACGTTGAACGGTCATTTTCCCTACATAAGTTAATATTAAGTGATAAACGTCGCCGTTTCACTAAAGAAAACTTAGAAAAGCACGTAGTAATATGTTTTAACTCCTTCCAATATTCCACGGAAGCCTTGTCTCAACACTAAAGTTTATCGGGTAAGTGATGTCATTTAAATTTATATAGGTATTTTATCCTCTACTTAGCCCTAATAGTACTATGTTGCGACATATTTTCTGTAAACATATTAAAATATTTTCATTCGTAATCTGACTACGGTTCTGTTAAACTCCGCGCAACACTAAGCCTAGTAATAACCTGTACCAACATGAGTTGATAACAAAGTTCATATGGAATTTCCTTCTTATTATTTTGAGTATATTGATTTTATAGTCAATTACACTTATCTTTTAATATCCTGTTTTTATAAATTCGTTACCGTTATCTCTCCGAACTAAATCAATTTAACAAGGACGGAAACTGATATAGTAAGAGTAGTGACTGATATATATTTTAGTTGAAACCCATCCTTTTATGTCTAGTATACATTAAGTTTGCAAGTTCTAGATTCGACTGTAAAATACGGCGATTCTCTAGCAATGACCTGCGTATCAAAAAAGTGGGTTCAACTTAAAATTCCGAATTAAAAGAAATCACGGACTTTGTTGGAAAGTTTTTCAGCAGAAGATTGATGGTTCTGGAATCGAAAAGTGGAGATAGGGTTAGCACGCTTTATGTTAAGGAATTTAGGAAAAGGTTATCTCAGTCCCCGACTCCCGAGGACTGTATTTAGGTCTTGGCACTTGAAAATAGGGGCGAGAGGGGCTGTTCCTTCTACAGATCCATTCAAAATCTAACTACTTATCCTCCAGCTGACTTAGAGTTTGAAGGTGAAAAAATTATTGATATCAAAAAGTAACTCGAAAGATGACTTTAAGTGGATAAATTGCAAATAAATGGCAAAATTTCGGTCCGATACGTCCAATGGTTAATTAATAATTAACGTTATAAAATGTTATCTTGTGAACAAAGAGGCGTAGATAATCTCTTTTTAAAAAAATACCGTAAAAGTATGCTCTTTTTAATGCAAAAGAGCGAATCCCCGAGCGGCTTTTGCCTGACCCTGGAACAATTAGTTTATGATTTGCACGTCCTAATTTGTTAGTTGTAAAGGGTAACTTAATTTTAACTTTTTAAAATTTTTCTTTTTCGATACGTTTATAATTAAACAATTAGTTGCAAAAACGAACGAAATTAATTAACAAATACCTGGAGCAACAATTTCACGATCAATCGAATCGGACTTTGGCATACATGTTGGTCTTTAGATTGACCATCTTTTCCATAAATTTCATCAACATCCGTCGTTTTTGCAATAATAATACGCAATTTTCGAAAACTGATATTTCCTCGTCCGACCTTTATTTTACAGTTAACAAATTAGTGAAAAATGACCTTAAATTGCAGGTAATTTAATTTAATTGTATATGTATGTATGTGTATGATATTTTTCCTTCCTCAGAATACGTAGCACTGTGGTCTGACTAATTTCATTGTTTAATGCAACAAATCGTGAAGTATTATGAGGATTATCTACCATATTTATCAAAATGTTCTGTTTGTGATCTTCACTAACGCTTGGACGTCCAGATTTTGGAATATCTATAACATTGCCAGTTTCTCTAAATTTAGATTCTATTTTACTGACTGTTGATTGGCTGATACGGCGATCTAGATGTTTTTCATTAAATAAATCGCAAACTTCCTGCTGCGTTCTAATCTTATCCCCGCATCCTATAAGAATTAAAATTTCAATTCTTTGTGTGACAGTTAAATGTGCCATAATACTTTAAATTCAACAATAATTTTTATATCGCTTACAATACTTAGGAAGTCGGTATGACAGTGACACTTTGTAAAGATTTACACCTACATGATCCATAAAAAACTTCAGGCATTTCGAAAAACTAAATTTGATAACGTTTTTGCTTTATTTTAATTGATTTGGGTTTTCTAACATTCAATCGTCATTTACTCGAAAACTTTCTTATGTAAGGTGGCAACATTTTAATACTGTCGGATCGGCAATGAAACGATCTTTCAGAATCAAGAAAAAAATAGGGGGTTGCTATTTAAAAAAAATGTCGATGACGTCATTACTCGAAAACAAATGACGGTTGAAAATCACCTTTTATGCTAAAATATGTATTTTTTAAATTAAAAATCGACCTGTTCGAGGATTTTTCCTAAAAGAAATTTGTTTCGTTTTTACTGAATTTATTCCAAAATTTAGGCGCGTACTGTATACCCTTCCCCGTCATAAAGTGCAATAAAATGTCTACTAATGACTTTTTCGAGTTTTCAGTTTTTATAATCTAGTTCGACTGGAATATTAAGATTTATTGACCCCAATCAAAATACTTGCATTAATTAATGTTATAATGAACAGAAATAGGAGTAAGAGTAGTTTGGTAATTTATTCCTGAAATTGATTTTCAATTATTTAATCCACTTGTAATTGTTTGAAGTTCCCGTAACACCCAAAGAACCCATCTTCATCGTATTTCTCAGGACGTAGGTCTTCATCCACCTTCCAATGCTCCCTTTGGTCGAAGAAGTCTTTATATTCTTCAAATTTTTTCAAAAATCTCGCTACGAACAAACGTAGTTTAAAAATGCAATCTTTTCAATCAACAAACATTACCTTCTAGATCGTCTAATGACTTTTCATTGCCACCATAATCCGAGGGTAAGACGTCCTTGTCTAAGGACGTCACTGCTGTATCTGTACCTTTATGAACAATAATCTGCAAGAAGAAACATTAAACTCAATCAAATCTTTCTTGTTGCCTGATACTGCCTTACCCTTTCTGCTAGTTTGGGTTTAATTATAGTCTTAGCAATGAACAGGGTCTGATCTATGGAACTGGGAGCGTTTACCAGATGGACGGCTACCGCTCTAGTGGTCAAAGACCTCTGAACGGAACAGCAACAATTAAAAACAAATCTAATTATGTATTAGACACCGCAGACTTACTTCTGCTATTATAAATATGGTCTTGATGAACATGGGCGTCATCTTCACCACGTGTCCTATCTTGACGTTCTCCAGGTCGAAGATGATGATGTGACCGCTGCACATGTCCTCGAGGAACCTGATTTCCACGACGTTCATCAAGTAGGCGAAGCAGGCGTAGGCATCTATGTCCATGGGATTGTCAGTGGGTTTGATCTTCATTATAAAGACCCTGTTTAGGTCTTTATTCAGTTTGGGCATTGGTACGAAGCATCTAGAAAATTGTAGGTTGAGAAAATGATTTATTGGGAAAAAACATGAACAAATGTTGCAAAACTGAATGGAAGTATAAGAAGAAAAACTAGAAGAAATCGTCAAAATACTCACACATATCTTTGTGCTTGTTTTATCCTTTCGGAAAGTGGATGCCAGTTGTTGAAAACGTCCGGAAATCTGGCCCTCAGAGTAAAATACATGTCAATTTTGGACTTTACCTTCTCTGTATTGCATTTGCCAAGTATTAAAAAACTCTCGATCTGCCTATCATCTGAAAAAATCGTTAGTAGCTACTATCATGTAATCATTTAGTACAAATACTCACTTAACACTTGAGGCAAATGGGGCTGGGTCTTCAGCCACACTTTGAGACCTTCCACATCACTTTTAAAGCTTTCAAGCGTCTTATCATAGACTTGTAATACTCTTTCCTTTACTTTCAGATCGGAACATTCTTGGAAGTAGCTCATTTTGGAAATATAAACTAGAAATTGTGAAGTCCAACATGAAACCACTCGACAGAGTGTTTAGTCAGTCTCTGTAGTAGACGTAGAACACTTAAATTTTACCTGTGTTTAACTATGCAATTATCGAGGAACATTTATTCAAAATTCATGTACTGCGAAAGGTTAAACAGTATTTGCTATAATAGAAACGACTAATGGAATGTTAACTATAATTAAATACGAAGGAAATTTTTTATTTCGCTTGAAATTTGTCACATATTACGTTTTTTATGTTGGTAGATACTAATAGCACTGATAAGAACAATAATTGTTGCATAATAATTGTGTTTAATATAATCTAAATGAACTAGGTTTGATCAGTGTTTAACTTCAATTTATTCTTTTTATTATTGCAAGTTCTTTAAACGCAAGTACTATTGAATCAAAATAACACCTTATACCTTTTATTAAGAAAAATAAAACAATAGATACATAAAATAATAATTTAAAATGTTGTTTCAAATCACAAGTCGCAGTCAATCAACAGAAAGTTTCTTGAAATTTCCGTAAAACCCTAAAATATCGTCGTTTTTTAAAGGGGCTGGTCTCAGTTCTTCATTGGGTTTCATTTTTTCAAGGGCATCAAATCTTTGTTGGTATTCCTGGATTTTTTTCTCCCACAGATCTGTAACACACAAGCACAACTGAACATTAAAGAAAAAAAATGGATATATTTGGCAAGTTATACTATAAAGGGTGTGTGTGTCCCAAAATTCACGCAAAATTTGAATTTTGCGCTATTTGTGAGATAAAATGTTACCAATGAAAAAAGAAAGGTGTGACAACTAACAGTTCAGAGTTATTAAAAATGTTTTTAAAATAATGAAGGTTTGGTAGCTACAGTTTGCAATTTTCGTACAAAATGTGGTCGAAATAGTGATTTCACTTCAGCAACTGCAAAGAATTGAAATCTGGCGGTCCATCAACAAGTCGTTCAACACAAAAACATGGAAGCAGTTCGTGAGAGTGTTGCTGAGAGTCTGGGTACATCAATTCGTCACCATGATCAAGAACTGGACATTTCTAGAAACTCTCTGCAGCGTATTTTCCCGAAAGACTTGCATCTTCATGCTTACAGTTCAAGTTCAATTGACTCAAGAACTGAAGCTTACTGACCCACGCAGAACGAAGAAAGTTAGTTGAATGGATTATGGAACAACAACTGGATGCCGATTTTTCGAACATAATCATCTTCAGCAATAGGCTCGTTTTCATCGTGATGGTTTCGTTAATCATCAAAATTGTTGCATCACAAAATCCACGAGTGATTCTTGAGAAACAAAAGCATCCACACAGTGTCACCGTTTAGTGCGGATTTTGGGCTGTAGGCATCATAGTACCATTCTTCTTAGAAAATGCGGTTGGTCAGGCAATAACAATTAATGATGTTGGCTATCGTGACATGATAATCCAGTTTTTTGTGCCTAAATTGCAACATGTGGATGTAGAGGACATGTGGTTTCAACAAGATGGTACAACATACTATACAGACAGAGAAACTATTCAATTACTGCATGAGTCATTTCCTGGTAGTGTAATTTCCCGTTTTAGTGATCAGAATTGACCCCCCAGATCATGTGATTTAACGCCGTTAGACTTTTTTCTGTGTTTTTTTTTAATCTAACCAACAAGCCCACGACCACCCACACCTTGAAGGAGGGCATTGAGTGCTGTATCGATGAAATTCAGCTGCATTTATGCAAAGAACGAAATTTTTTATTTTCTATTGGAGAAGATCTCCATAATAAAAAATGACGTGAAAATTTATTCCTATTTATTATTTGAGAGCGGATTAATAAAATATCCAAATAGTTGCGTATTATTTTTTATAAAATCTGAATGAAAATCTTACTCGTGAACATCAGTTTTTCTATAATATTGTAAATGCAACTAAAAATTTCCAAATGTATTTAGTCGTTTGACCTTAAAAATTTTGCCTGCGGCGCTATTTTTTTCTTTCTTACCCATCTAGTAAAAAACCCACAGGCCTCACCTATTCACAATGTCACGAACCGCCACTGGGGTAATAAGTCCGCCACTGGTTCCTCAGAGATATTTAAAAAATTGTGATATATTTTTTTTATTTCGAAAACGAAACGAACCACGATCCATATTAATACGAAACATTTTGCTTAAAATTATTAGACACAGATACTTATATGTAGATAGATTAGATATAACATATATCTCGATTTGTTTTCGAGATATTGAGCTGAGTAGTTTTAAATCGAACCACCTATATACTAAAAGTAGTTAAACTTTTGACCTCTGAAATAGATTTGAGCTTATTTTGCGTTTCTCCTTGTTTATTTTCTATATCCAATTGAACAAAAAAGAATTGCGGGTACAAGCGCAGCGTATTAGCATTTTAATGGGAATTTGTAAATGAGATGGCGCCTACGTTTTATTTCAATCAAAATATTTCAAAGGCAGTAGGAAGCTGGCAATTACCGTCGATGTTTAAAATCTATGACGGAAAAATACACAGCGGAAAGCCAGAAATTAAATATTATGAGCGGTTTAGTCGATTATTATAATGAATATGTATTTATAAAATTGGGGAAATATCAAAATTTATTTGGAATAATTAAATTGGAAATTTAAATATTTTGATTTACATTTATGTACTTGACTATTTAACCGTACGTTTATTAAATTGGTAAATATTGGAGAAATGCTTCAAATGGGTTGAAACTGGTATATAAAATAGAACAATCCAAGTGAACTCTATTAAATTTTTACGATAATAAAATATTCGGTAAAATATATATAAACGAAAAGTTGGGAAAATAAATCAAAGATGTAAATTAAGAATTAATGACAAAATTTACTTTTTATGCAATCAATAGCATTCTTCCATATTTATAGTTGTCAAATCTAGCAATAATTTTGAGAATTTCGAACATATATATGGTTACAACTTTTTAATTTTTCAGTACAGGTATTTTTCTTATTTTAAGAAAACAGAAATGGTTAAATGAGCAAAAATATGCAAAATTTTATGCCGATCACGGATTCGTTATTAAATTTAGAATATTCCGAATAGTTCCGAGAATATTCAAAGGAAAGCGATTTTATGCTATTTCTTTTTCTAGTCGTATTTCACTTGTTTTTCAAAATTTTAGGACAAAAATATGTGGTATAGTCTTTTCGAAGTCAGTTAAACATGTATAAAAAAGTCTAGCAATAAAATTTAATGAGTCATAGGCGTCCCTAAAAAAGTTTTCTGCTAAAGGTAAAAAATTATAATAATTTGTATATAATGTGTAGAAAATTTCTATTATATGTTCATTTGGCCAACAATATATTTTAATTATNAAAAAATCGCTAATATAGATTCTGGATTTTTCAGCCTCTGAATGTGATCTAGTAGGCCTTAGTTTAAAAAAGAACTGGACGGCGCTTGGCCCCAAAATACACTTTTCCCCCCCGTACATTTCAAAAAAAAATTCGTCAAAATCGCTCCATAAATAAAAATGTTATGAGGGTGGCCCGCTTTCAAATGGGTCACTCTGTATATGGTTACAACTTTTTAATTGTTCAGTACAGGTATTTTTCTTATTTTAAGAAAACAGAAATGCTTAAATGAGTAAAAATATACAAAATTTTATGCCGATCACGGATTCGTTATTAAATTTAGAATATTCCAAATAGTTCCAAGAATATCCAAAGGAAACCGATTTTATGTTATTTCTTTTTCTAGTCGTATTTCACTTGTTTTTCAAAATTTTAGAAAAAAAAATGTGTGGTATAGTCTTTTCGAAGTCAGTTAAACATGTATAAAAACGTCTAGCAATGAAATTTAATGAGTCATAGGCGTCCCTAAAAAAGTTTTCTGCTAAAGGTAAAAAATTATAATAATTTGTATATAATGTGTAGAAAATTTCTATTATATGTTCATTTGGCCAACAACATATTTTAATTACTTATGTCCTCAAACAATTTCATTACAATAATGGTCCGTTTCAAAAGGTTTCCAAAATGCCATGTTGGAATAATATTAGTAAACAAAATATCCCTCTTATTTCTCCCTTTCGCAATTGTAATATGAATGATTAATAGAAGGTGCCAATAATAAATTAAAATTACCTGAATCACACTAAACTCCGCATTGCTGCACTGCACTGCTAGGCAATTTGTTAACCACTTGTCAACAACTTAGATTTATTGCCAAGTCGCTCAGTGCGGCTGTGTTGTACGCCGTTTGCGCGCGCGCATTCTTCAACTGGGCATTTCTACCACTTCCAGGTTTAGTTCGACCAGACCTGTATATGGGTATGGCCAAATAAATATGGGAACAAGTTCTTCAAATATTTTAATGCCGAGTTGCTGAGTCAGCGACCGAACCTGGTGCATACCGCCAAACTCTTGGTTCTTCAATTGAGATCGGAAAGACTATACAAGAAAGAGACTGGCACTCGTGAAGTCTAATACGAAAGTTTTGCATCACCCGCGTCAACATTTGAATTGGGATTACGTCCGAATATTACTTTTCAGTTCGTCCAAAGTTTGCGGTTGATTGGAAAAAACTTTTGACTATAGGTAGCCCCATAAAATAAATCACAAGCAATAATATCCGGCGACCATGCCGGCCAGTTGAGGTCCCCAAATTTCGAAATAACGCGACCAGGAAACATTCTTGGCACAATTGCCATAGTGTGGAAAGTGTGCTGTTGAAGTCATAGTCGTCAAATATCCACATCAACATTACGAAGTTGTTTAAAATTCGAAATACCTGCTGATACAATACCTTTCTCAAATAAAACCGACCCAAAAATTGTAAAGGCTGATATTACACACCACACAATAACTTTTTCGTTATGAGGTGGTACTTCGTGCAATTGCTGAGGATTTTCCGTCGCCCAATAACGAAAGTTACGTTTGTTAACATAACTTGACAGATGAAAATGAGCTTCATCTGACATCAGCAAGCAGTCAACGATTTCTGGGTTTTCCTAGGTGGTTACAATAGAATTATTATTCTTGAAAATGGATATTCAATTCTGCCTAACCCTGTACTTGTAACATGTACCAGGCATCATCAGTTGCTGCTTCGAATTCTTATTGACAATAATTGTATTTAAAAATGATGAATATAATGCTCATGCCCAAATTTAATTTGTTCCTAGCTTATGCATACTATTTAGTATGACCTAAATCGAGATTTCAAAGTTGTTCCTACGTTTAACAAACTGTATTTTACGTTTTACCTACCGTTCAGCTCAGACAGCGTCATTTCGTCCCCTCCATAGTCCTTGGGAACAATCTCTTTGGGTAAATATTTCAGAATAGAGTTGGATTTGTTGTGGACATTGAGCTAAAAAAGTTGTTCATTAGAAATATACTTCAACGTAAGCACAAGGATTTTGGAAGGATTTTGTACTTACCCTTTCCACAAGTTTGGGCGAGATGAGTTGTTTGCATACCGACAAAAGTGTATCGACGTAGGACGGGGCGTTTATGATGTGTATGGCCTTGACTCTGTTGGAAAACACTTTCTGAAAAATCGAGTTTAGTGATAGCATAGCAAAGAATTACAAAGGAACTTACCTCCAGCACTATACTAGCCTTCTTGATGACAACAGGGGTAAGTTTGAGAATGTGTCCCATCGTGAGAAACTCAAAATCGTATATTATCACATCGCTGAGGGGGATGTCTTCCTGCACCCTGATTTCGGCTATGTTGTAGGTGTGAGCGAAGAAATCGTATGCGTCAAAATTGTCGGCGTCTTCGTCTACGAATTTTATGACAGTTACCCTGTAGCCATCTTCTGTAGTTTTTGGCAATGGGCAGACGTACCTAAAACAAAAAAACCAATTAGTAGGGATAAAAGAAAAAATAATAATTTGTCAACTTACGTTTTCTTTCTTATCTGTTGCATATGCGGCAGTTTGGGATTTTTGTTCTCGTATATTTCGGGAATCAGGGATCTTAAGGTGTAGTACATGTCAAGTTTTTGTTTTGTTGCCTCTACGCTGAATTTATTGTTAAACAGGAAGTTTCTTATCATCGTGTCACCTAAAATTTTCCGTTAAAAATATTATTCCATTAAAAATACCCTTCACAACAAAACGTTTAACCCAACAGCCCGAATATACTTTCCCAAATGATTTTGGTTTTCGAGATCACATGACTTTTCCCTGCTTACGACTTATGAAACCGTTCAATCTTGAATTCCATCCTACACCCATCTTATTGTTTAATACCTTTTAACCCATAAAAAGTACCAAAACCTGCCATAAGATTTTTTGCTGTTTGTGGGATGTGAAACCCGTTAATAATTATTTCCATCTCAAAGTGTGCCCTAACCGATCACTACCGACACCCTTTGACCAACTGATAATTGAACCCCTAACCTCCAATTCTAACCCCGGGGTTGGGAAGGTGGACTAACCCTTCTTTGTTCACTCCTCGAATCATCCTGCCGTATGAATTATATCTGTTTATGGGTTCTGAAACTGTTTGATCATGAATTTCATTTCCCAGCTACCTTAATAATCACTACCCAATGCTCTTAACGCAAAGAGCAAAAAGTCATATGGAAGGATTTGGTACAGAGTGGAGGGGAGGGGGAGTTTCAGTTTTCGGAGGTTGAAGGATATTGAGTAGTGAACATTTCGATAGCTGTGAGATGAAATTCACAATCAAATGGTTTTATAACCGGCAAGCAGAAAAAGTCACATGTCGGGCCTTGATACGGAATGGGGTTGGTCTACCCCTCCCAACGGTGGGGTTGGGTTGGGTGGTGAGTGGATCAATTGACTGGGGTCGGCGTCGGAGAGTATCGGGTAGTGATCGTTTAGGTGGATTTGGGATGGAATGTACGATCAAACGTTTTCCCAACCAGTAAGCAGGGGAAGTCACATGACAGGTTTTGGTAGTTGATGGGGAGGGAGAGGGATGGGGGGTTGAGTGTTTCGGAGATTATAGTCTTCAGCTTAGTTAGTTAGTAGGTGGCTATAGGTTCGGTTACAGTAGTAAAATATTTCAGTAAGCCTATAATCTGTCAAGTCAATCCCCCTGACCTTTGGGGTGGTTTTGGGGGGTTTGAAGGGGTTGTAGGGCTTCGTGCTCATTGAGACTTTTGATCAGCATGATGAGGACTATCAAAATAGTTTCATAAAAATTCACCGGTGTTCAATTTCCATATGTTTTGTGCGAGGTTCTTTAGTAGTGTGACTTATTTCTTGATTTTTGAATATACATACTTACAACACAGCGCCACAAACTTTATAGGTTTATGGGCTTAGGGTTTATGAGTTCGGAATTGAACGTATTAGCCTCTTTTGCATGTAAATGTATTTCCAGATTGATATAATTCGCAAAATGTCGGCCATATATCGAATTGTTAGGCATTTTTTAAGCTTATTGCAAAATTTGACGTGATAGAATTTTTGAGTTTTAATTCATGACCAGCGACTCCAAAAACATGTACGATCCCTACTTCCGGGTACCGATGAGTTTAGGTTTGTGTTTGTGTCAGTATATTCAAAAGTTAAACTACTAAATTTCAACATGCGGTTTCTCTTCTAAGATGAAAAATGATATCGGGATAAAAACAAGGGCGTTTTAAAGAGTAAATATAGTACTTTAAGACCTTATTAATGGTGTTAGCAAAAAATTTACCTATCCATGTAATATAACCTCAAATATGTCAAAAAATTGCAAGTTTGACACTTTTAGGCTAGGATATCTCGAAAACCAGAGCCAATTGAGAAATTTGGACCTCGGATTCAAATTCAGCTCATCAAAATCCTTCGGAAAAGTACATTTTGGTTTCTGGGTTAAAGGGTAGGTCTTTTGTTGGCCTATGAATTACCTACTTATCCAAAATAAAAACTAAATATAACGCAGCCACACAAAAAAAGTTCTGTAATTTTCATGCGACATATGTTATCCGTAGTATTTTTGCCTCCTGATCACGAAGCCGGTGTCAGAATCACATCACAGGAATTTCCTAACCTCAAATAAACCGGTCAAAAATAACAAAAATTCACTAAAAAGTGCTAGAAAAAAAACAATTTTTTTTCTATATTCAAATGTTCATTTATATGGTTAAGACCCTGCCGTACGTGGACCCGCTGTCAGAATGGTCAGATGGTTCTTTTTCTAACCTCAAAAAACGGGTCAGATCGTGGGCTATGGGTCAGATGTCACGAATTTTAAAAAAATAACAGATTCGCGCCAGATTTGGTATATGGGGGTTTTCGGGGTTATATTATCAAGCAACTTCCCTTCTCCTGTACAATTAAAAATATTATAATAAGGCAGCAAAATACAGGATGTCTCTTTGAATGATTGCAATGTTTTAGAATTTCAATATATAAGTGTTGTGTTTTTATATTAATTATATTTACAGGTATCAATGTTAGTTTTTATTTTGGATTATTATTTATCACTACCTGTTTACTAAGTATTAGTTAGAGCATATAATCCATAGAGTTAGTGTTTCCAGCAATATCAGCAGTTTAGGAGTCTTGTTTGTGAGATTAGACATCATTTGCATACCTAGATTTGTCGTATCGAAGAACATCGTTTATCTTCATTTGATAATATTATAAAAAATAACATTTTTTAAATTTGTTAGAATTAGCTTAATATATTTTACAAAATTTAAAATTGAGTAAAAAATAATCGTTTTTGTTGAAATTTCATTTTCTAATATACAGGGTGGTCACTTTTAAGGTGTACACCATTAAGATCCCCTGAACAATTAGATTTGCAGGGTTGGTTAAATTACAAAAAAGTTGCATATTTTCAAGCCATTTCCGATTATGAAAAGAAATTGGAGATAAGTTGCACCGTTCCTGAAATAAGCTGAAAAACTATTCCAAACCTCCTAGATAGTTATGTCTTCATAACCAACTTTTGGTTTTTGTTTATGGACGCCATATTGGATTTTCATTTATTGCCAATTTTTCATACTAAAACGTAAGAATGTCAAGCTTTTCACTTATTGAATATTGTGCCAATATGATTAAATACCGAGAACACTTGTGTACTTTTTTATAGCAGTAAATTATAGTTTGTTTACTTTTAAACAGAAATGTTTTTTTTTCCATGGCTACTACGATCGAATTAAATAAATAATAAAAATGATCCTTTTTGACGCTTAATAAAATCCCTTCACCTAAGTATGATACATCGTTAAACTCGAAATTGAATGCTTCATCTAATGGTGCACGAATCCAATATGGCATACATAAGAAAGTCAAAAGTTGGTTATGAAAACGTAAGGATCTAGGAGACTGGAAGATGTTTCAACTATGCTCTAACTTTAAAAGTCGTTGAAGTAATTAATAAAAATAAATAAAAAATTAAAATTTAAACACCCTGTATCTCGGAAACGAAGCATATTTCGACCTATGTTTATATGAACTTTTTTTTCACAAAATAACTCCGGCAACCATCCCCTAAAATATTTCGTAGTTATTTACGAACATCCTGTATTTGGTTAAAATTTGTACTTATGGCTAAGACACTCTGTATATGTTAAAAACTGAAATTTCTATAAAAATTATACTCTACCACAAAACAAATAAAAAGGTGTTCGATAAAGGCTAGCAAACGCTGTAAAAAACTTTTTACATTGAATTTAGTTAAAAAATTGTCTACTTTTACAAGTGTTGCGTAATTGTAAGAGGTCGAGACAAGTCAAGGCTTATTGTTAACAACGACTGCTAAGCTGGATTTGTGTAACAAATTTCCCTAGACATTCTAAAATTATGTAGTGGATATGTAATTCTAACATTTATTGCAAGATTTTTTTACGAAAAATGATACACCTTGTATTCTGTGATGTAAACAGTAAAATTCAATTTAGTTTGTATAGTCTACTAATTTTACGTTTCAATTATCACGATAGCTATGACAAATAATGTCAATGCTTCTTTTGTTTCCTTTCTACTTTTTTAATTGGAAATCAAAACTTCTAGAGATTCAGTGTCATCATAAAAATATGTATCAAAAAATCGTCTCTGAAAAATAGGATCACAATGACAACACAATATATAGAGTGTTGCATCTAAATTTATTTAAGAAGATCGCTGTTTTGATTATATTTTTTTAATTTTGGAACTTATATTGCGAATTTTGAAAAATGCTTTTACTTACTTGGCATCTCAGGCAAATGCATCTGGGTCTTTAACCACTTCCTCAATATATCTAAGTATTCCTCCAGATTTTCTTCCGTTTTGTTGTACTGCTTCAGCACCAGAGCAAGCTGCCCCTTGGGGTCTTGAACCAGCAAATTTTTGGTATCCATATCACAAAACTGTTACACAAAAATTGTTTTAAACTCTCTTTCGAATACTAACTTGGGTTCTAGAGCGTTACACACGATGCGTCAGTCTTTATCCATAAATACTGATAAACAAAATATATATTTTAACAACAATTGTACCTTCCGTACTACGTAAGTACTTGCAACACTAAGAATAGAAACTTATGGTACAGTTCCAGCGCCAGTTATCCTTCAATAATAGAAAATGTAACCGCCGCACCACTTTTCTTATTGCTCTTGCACAACGTCCATTTCAAAGACATTGACAATGAGGAAAGGCTATTGCGAAACGGCACCTTTGTCTGTCAGATAGCGGAACAGGTTATATTATCGCTTGTTTTAATACAACTGCATTTTTTATTAGAGAACGGATTAGTGACTAAGAATAGAATACTATCACGAATCGAAAAAAAAATCGTAGTAAATTAACTTCGATACGGATTGTTTTACAAACGATAATACTTCGCATATTGGCCTTCGTTTTGAACGCTTGCATACAGGGTGTCCGGAAGCGAATGGGCGGTAATTCAAGGATACTTCCTTGGATGAAAATGTACTGATTTAGATCAAGTTGATGTAATTGTGCTTCCTTTAGTTACGGGCCCTTTGAAAATTGTCTACATCAGTTTCAATATTCCAAAAAAACTCGGCGGAATTCTATTCTAATTTTCTATACTTTTACTAAATTTTACTAAATATATACATACAGGGTGTCCCGGAAATGGTAGGCAATCTCTCGGATATGGATAGATAATGAGAAAATAATGTCACAAGTTCATATAAAATTTTTTCCTCCGGGCTCACCCTGTAGAGTTATTAGCTCTTGAAGTTGAGAATTAAAAATGGGTTTTTTGCTGTAACTTTTGTATTTTTCAATATATTTTGAAAATTATTTGGCTGGATCTATAGGTTTTGAAGCTGCTTTGGATGATAATATGAAATCTTCGATAATAATTATGGGGGCCCGGGGGCAAAGCACCCCCCACCAAAATTTCTAGAAAAAAAATTTTTGTTCCACTATACCCCAAATTTTCCATCATTTTATAA